ATAAAATTATTATTATATAATATATTTAATATATATTATATATTATTTTTATATAAAAATAATTTTGAATGAAACAATTTAAATTGAATTTGATATAGATTAAAGAAAATTATGATTTCATAAAAATTCTTAATTTGCTGAATATTATTTTGATTAAATTTGATAAAATTTTAAATTAATATTTACATATATTTAATGAATGTAGAAATTGATATTTTAATATATATCGATAGAAAATATTAAATATGTAAATATGTTGAATAATAACTGCGTTTTTATAGTATATGAATTTTTTAAAAAATGTTATTTATATTAATTATAATCATTGTTCAAAAGATTTAATTCTTTTATTAAAAAAAAAAGAAATGAAAATAATTAACAAAGTATTAAAAAAAAAATGTAAAATATTCTATAAATATTAAAATATTTAATTCAAAAAAATTATGAAGTTAAAAAAAATATCAATAAATATATATTCATAAAAATTTGAAAAAAAAATAAAAAATTGAAACAATTATTTCGAACAAAAGAAATGCTTAACAAAATTGTAATTATGAAACGAATAAAATTTTCAAAAGGATAATTCTTATTCAAACAAAATAAAAAAAAAAAAGATTTTAACTATATTAAAAAAATTCTTTCAAAAACGAAATCTTTTTATACAAGAAAGACATTTGTATATGAAAAAATAGAAAATCTCTAACTTCTTTTTCTTTTTGCTAAATGTAATAATATTTGCAAAATATTTTATCTTATATTTGATAGATAATCTTGTAGTTGAATTTTACTTCAATAAATTCAAAAAAAGGATCAGATAAAAAAATTAATGTTTTGTAAGATTTAATTTATTTTAACAGTAATGAGATAAAAACAAATATAGAAAATATAATCAATATTATAAATCAATTTTATACTTATTATTAAATGATATAAATTTTCAAAATAGATTTTAAAATAAAAAAATAATAAAATATAAAACATTTATAACGCTTATCAAATTCTAAAAAATAAAATAATTTATATTCTATAAAATAATATTTTTAAATTAAATTTATATTCTGTAAAATATTATATTATATTGTATAAAATTTTATTTATATTATAAAATTACTATATATAATATTATATATATCTATACATTCTAATACATTCAATATTTAATTACTTTCCAATAACTATTAAACTGTTTAAAGAGATAATAAATAAAATTAATTAAACAAAAATATAAAAAAACGAAAAAAAATATAAATTTTATGAAATATAACGTAAATATTTTTAAAATTCAAACTTTTTGTATTCTTTTCCAATTATTTTTTAACTGTAACATTTTAAACAATTCTCTAATTTTTTTTAATAAAACATTATTCTCTATATCGTTAAATATTTCGCGTAATTTATTCTTATCCATTTCATAATTCACAAATATCTAAGATTTCCAAAAGCGAAAACAGAAGAAAGCATCGTTAAAAATAAAACAGTGAAGTATACATACTGGCATAGTTACTTCAATAAAGACAAAAGAAACCAAGA